CGCCCCCTCTATCCCCTGCTGTGTCACCTCGTCTCGTTTTACCTATCCCGTTTTGTCTGTGTTGCCTCTCCTCTCTGCCCCTCCGTGACGGTGTGCAGTGCAAGCCCCTTGCCGGGACAGCTGCGCACCCGAGAGACACCTCCTTCCCGCAGCCACATGCACACATCGATCTGTGTGTGTGGCGCTCTCTGTGCCGGCAGAGAGGCGGGGCAGGGGTGGGGGCGGAGAGGATGACACAGACAGACAGACAGACGGACGGGACGGACAGACGGGGGGATGGAGAGGCAGGGCGAGGTAGTGGGGGGTGGAATGGGATGGGTGGATGGCCGTGTGTGTGTATTTCGCGCCTGGTGTGGTGACGGGCTGTATGTCGCCCGTCACTGACAAAACACTGTTTGGTGGAGTCACGTCACATGATTGCGGTGTGTGTCGTCGTCCCATTGGGAAGATACCTACCATCCATGGATGGCATCCACACATCCACACGCACACGAATGCATGCATCAACGCAGGCACGCAGCACACAATGAATGAGTGTGTGTCTGTCACGTCACACGACTAACTGAGGATCGACCGTTTGTTGCCCCTCCCTCCCTGCCTGCCTGCCTGCCTGCATCATGTGCTTGGGTGTGTTTCGTTCGAAACCACCGAGTGGCAAGAGAGAGCATACATACATGCGATGCGCCCCGGCAGAAACACCCACCCTCCCTCCCTCCCATGCCACACACACCAACACAAGCTAAGCTGCGTTCCCAAACCACTCACTCTTCCACTCACTCACGCGTCCATGCCATGCAGACAGACAGACAACGAGAAGAGACACCATCCCCCCAAAACAGCCTGACTGACCTGCCTTCGCCCGTCGCCCGCCCGCCCGCCTGTGAGTCAGTGGATCAATCCATCACTCACTCAGGCCTTACTAGCAGTCTTCTTCTTTTGTCCGAACACGCCCGCCACCTGGTCTGTGACGCCCTCCCACCACTTCTTAACAGCACCCTCCTGCATGTCGGCCGTCACTTGGATGATCTCGTTCTCCTTGCCCTCCTCCTTCAGCTTCTCCTCCAAAGCCTTGTACTCCAGTCGATAACCGAACTCCAACGCTGCACACACACACACACACACACACACACAGAGAGAGAGAGAGAGAGAAGAGAGAGAGAGTAAAAGGCGACACACAGGTGGACAAGTTAAGTGGAGGGAGGGAAAGGGTGAGTAGGGCGGGTTATGTTGGGGGGCGAGGCTGCTAACCGTCTCTGTTGAGCTTGTACTGGCTCTGTGCGATGTCTTTGAGGCGTTCCTGGTTCTCGGCGCTCGAGAACAGACTCTTGGCCACACCCTGATTCAGTGTGTCTACACAGTAGGCACACAAAGAGAGAGGGATACATTGGTGCCCTGCTCACACAGGGCAGGTAGGCGCAGCGGAGGTCTGGGTACTTACTTTGGTATTGCGTAGCGAGGAATCCTCCGTTGACGACGGAGTTGGCGAGGGCCCTGGCCTTGTCATCGCCCTTCAACATGCCCGCTGGGAACCAGGAGCTCTCTTCTGCACACCACACCACACACACACACACACACACACATTGCAGGGGCCTGCACATCGACCAGCCAGCATATCATATGCTGTCGCGTATGTGTGTGTGGTGCGGTCATACGGTCAGCGATCTTTTGCCTGACGAAAAGCTGGAACCCGACTTCGTCGTCGTCCAGGTCTCTCTGCTGCTGCTGCGCCTTGATGTACTCCTTCATCTTCTGCTGCTGCAGAAACGCACCTCGGTTCACGCCGCGCCGGGGCTTGCCGCCCTTCTGAGTGAACCGCTTCATCGCCTTGTCGGCGGCCTGCTCCTCAAGGCTCTTCTTGGCTGACAGAACAGCTTTAGCATCTGCAGGCCTTGGCGGCCTCAGCTGCTGTGCTGGAGAGAGAGATGGGGCGGGCGGGACGAAAGAGAGAGAGTGCGCGGGGTGGAGAGATGCAAGGGAGGGCTGATCTGGCGAAAGGGCTGGTCTGTGGCTGCGGTCCAGCCGTGCTCCCGCCGCCATCAAGACGAAAAGCCATGAAAGGAAGAGACTGGATGATAGCTGACGGTAATGCCCCATTTTGGGATGAGAGGAGAAGGGAGGCGTCGTCAGTGAACAGAAGGAAGGGCCAGCGCTCTGACTGTGTAACGTTCGTACTCTAAACCCGGAGCAGCCTTACAGTAGCTCGCACAAACGCTGCCCCTGGTCATCTCCCCACCAAGTCATAGAAGCAGGATGACGGCAGCGATGCTAGCTAAAACTCCGCCCTTGACTTGCGTCGAGATCTTTGCCACTGCGTGGGTGTGAGGTGAGGTGGGCTGTCTCAGCGTGAGGATGGCGCCCGTGCGGCTGGCGGAGGACCTGCCGGCTGACCTCCCCCACTGGGGAGAGGCCAAGGCCATGGCCACACTCAACAAGTTCCTCACCGACCTGCAGGGCTTTGACAATCCATTCCAGGTCACGCACGCCGCCACGACCACCGCCGACACAGCTGGATGCGATGCAGCGGACGGAATGGGTAGACACACCTCATGTCTGTCGGGATTGCTTGTGTGTTTGCAGGACCAGGCGCGGCTGTGTCACAAGTACGTCAGGCGGATGGGTGACCAAGGCAAGGCGGTCAAGTCTGCCAGGCGGAGCCGCGCACCCTCACCGGCACGCAATTCTCGCGTCAGGGTCAGTCAGGGCAGGCAGGGAGAGAGGCGCCAACCGGGCAAGTGGACATTTCATCGGTGTGGCATATATGTCGGTCGGTTCTTTTTGTTCTGCAGGCGCTTCTCGGCAAGTCATCTGCGTCGAGTCCGTCCTCGTCGAGCAAGCAATCCCGTCCGCCGCGTGAGAGGCACCACCGCGGGTCGCTGCCGCCCTCCCACCCCTCCCACCTGGCCAGCCCCCACCCCCGCCCCTCAACTGGCCACCCACACTCGTCTCGACTGCGCAGCCGACCCAGCAGCATCGACACATCCCGCACCCGTGCCGGCATCGGGCCCATCCCCACCACCCCACCTGTGTACCCGGTGCGGCCCGCCGGCGCCGCCCCTGTGCACCCCTCTGGCGCCATGTCCGTGGGGTCTCTCACGCCGTCTATGTCGCCAGCGCACTCGCCCAAGGGCAGCAAGGCATCCAAGCAGCGGCCACTGGTCAAGAACCCCACCACCAGCGCTACAACCAGCACTAACACTAGCACAAGCACAAGCACCAGCAGCTCCGCCACTCGCCCGGTGCGGCAGACGTCCGACAAGGGTCCGCCGCTGCCTTCCCCTTCTCCCCCCGCCACCCCCGCCCCCGTCGCGGGCAGCACCAGCACCAGCACCGTCACCAGCACCTCTCGTTCGCGTGGCGGCATCACCCGGCCGGCCTACCTCACGAGCCCGCGAGGTCAGAATGCGATGGCGGGCAACGCCCCGCCCCCCAGCAGCGAGGATAAGGCGGCTCGCGCGGTGGGCGGGCCCAGGAGTGGAGGCCATGCGCGGACCGATGGCGGTGGTGGTGCAGGAAGGGGTCACGAGGAGAAGAAGAGTGGCCAGCAACAGCAGCAGCAGCAACCGCCGCCGCCGCCGCCGCAGCAGCAGGGCAAGAACGGGGGCAATGGCAATAAGTGGGTGCGGCCACTACCTGAGTCAAAGTGAGCAATCAACAGACAGACAGATGACACAGCCAGTGAGGACGAGATACGGAAGAAGTCTGTGCATCTCTCTCTGTCTGTCTATGTGTGTGTGTATGTGTGTGTGTATCATTCAGTCGTTGTGACATCGTGTTGAAGTGGGTGCAGCCTGCGAATGAGGTTGAGGTGGCTGGCTCATTCACACAACCACCGTGGAAGAGATTCCTCAAACTATCCAAATGCCCAAGGTCGGTCACTGACGGACAGAGGGAGGGAGGGAGGGAGGGAGGGAGGAGGGCCAGTGGTCGCAGACATACACAGACAGACAGACAGACACACTCACACAAATATCGCCTGCACATGCTGCTTGCCTTGCGCGACATCCATCCATCCATATATCTATCCATCAGGACTGGTGTGTTTTGGTTGGCGTTGCGTGAGGTGCTGCCTGAGTTGGCTGCGGGCATGTATCATTTCAAGTACATCGTCGACGGCGAATGGCGAGTCGACGAGGCCATGCCCCAACAAACGGTGAGCTAGGTAGAAACCGAACAAGAAGTGTAATGTGGCCCTCTCACTGCTTACTGTTTGTCTTGTCTTTCAGGATTCTGCGCACAACTGCAACAACGTCTTGGCGGTGCACCCGTCCCTCACACGCAAATCGCGCCGCAACCTCGACAGCGCCCTCCCGCCCGTCAACAACGGCAGCAGCAACACGTCTGGTGTGCCGCCCCACCCCCCTCCCCCGCCACCCGGCCGTGTGTGCCGCACCCAGTCGCCCTCACCCATCGCCCGCGGCCCCACACTGTCACTCATCAACCCACCACCACCCATGGGCATGCGCTCGCCGCCACCCGTCACCCCCCTGCCGTCGCCCATCCCCTCACCTGCACCTGCACCCGCCCCCAACGGCGGGGAGGGCAATGGGGGTGGGGCCTCTGGCGATAGGAAGGGCACCGGCGGGCTCTGCCCCAGGCGGCATCACGACAATGGGGCCGGCGTGGGCATGGACAGACCTAAAATCGACAGTAAGGAATTAATGGATATGCTAGGTTGGTTGAGGTCCGCCATGTCTCGGGCTCTGTGTGTGTGTGTGTGTGTGATTGTGGTGGGTGGTGCAGTATTGCCCGAGGATTCGGCGTTCAAGGGCTGCAAGGCGGCAGCTCAGCACATCCCGGAGGGCCTGCCCCACCCCCACTCCCACAGCAAGGGCCCCCTGGGCGTGTCGGTGATGGCGGAGCCCGTCACGGTCCGTCCGCTGCAGTGGATGCTGCCGCACGATGACGACCTCGGGACCCCCCAGGGCGGCAGCCTGCTGCAGGTGCCCGGCGAGGGCGGGCTGCACAGGGCCTCCAGCGAGATCGGCATCAGCCTCAACGCCGACTCGGACTCGCTGCGTCGCGTGGCGAGCATGTCGCTCAACGTGGCCGGGTGGCCGATGGAGGTCATGGAGAACCTCCACCAACCGGAACTCTACCTGGTAAGCCAAGCCGTCGACTTGACGGTGTCTCTCACTGACGGACGCGCGGTTGTCACCTCATCCACACATCCATCCATCGTTGTCTGTGTGTCCCTCGCGGCTCGGTGTCTGTCTGTGGTGTGTGCAGGATCTGAAGCTTCCCGCCGTACGAGCGACCACCGGACTGGGACTCATGGGCGGAGGTCAGTCACACACACACACACACACTCACAACCACTCTTCCTTCTCTTGGTCGATGGGTTTATTGCCTCCCTCACTCAGGTTACATGATTCCCCATCCCGAGAAGGCATCGACGGGCGGCGCTGACGCATACTTCATCAGCGGCGACGGCATCGGCGTGGCAGACGGTGTGGGCGAGTGGGACTCGTTCGGACTCAACCCACGGCTGTTCGCCGAGCAGCTCATGCGCTCCTGCGAACACTACACACGCATCATCACCTTCCCCACGGCCGCGCCGTCACAGCGGGCCATGAACATTCTCACTGCCGGTAAGCTATGCTTGCAAGAGACTTTCACCCATAGGCACAAAATGAAATGCGCCTAAGTGAGTGAGTGGACCTCCTTCCCTTGTGTGTGTGTGTCCGTGCATCCCACCATCGTGCAGCGTACGACGACACGACGGCCTTCGGGTCGAGCACAGCGCTGGTTGCCTGTCTGGACGAGCAGGGCCAGCGGCTGGGCATCGCCAACCTGGGCGACTCCACGTGCCTCATCCTGCGACGACAGCAGCCATACGCCATGTCGCTGGTGCTGCGGACGCGCGAGCAGCAGCACTCGTTCAACTGCCCCTTCCAGCTCTCGCGCCTGCCGCAGCCGGAACACTTCCCAGACCTGCTCAAAGACGGAAAAATCACTCTCGTCAGGTAGGTATTCATTTGCCCCACACCACTGTAGGTTGCCCTTGGTATAATGGTGGGCATGTGATGGATGTCTGAGTATGTGTTGGTTGTTCTGCTGTGTGTGTGTAGGGTTTTGAAGCAGTCGTCGTTGTTGCCGCAGGACACCCCGAGCATGGCCAATGGATACACCGCCACACTGCACGAGGGAGACCTGATCATCCTTGGCACCGACGGTATGATACATGTGATGCGGCAGGCAGGCAGGCAGACAGGCAGACAAACACGGGGGACACTTTGGTTCTGGGTATCATGGCTGGCTGGCAGGTGTGTTTGACAATTTGTTTGACCACGAGGTGTGCAACCTGGCCAATCTGACTATGTCGCCCTTCGAGGCAGCCCTGCTCAAGAACCCTTCACTCGTCACGTCGGCAGAGGTATGTGATGTGTACCCACACACATTCACGCACACTCAGCCACACGAGCCGAGCCAGGCATATATACCACACCTGCAGTGCACCTGCATTGACTGACATGCGTCCGTCTGTCTGTCTTGTGTGCAGAGTGTGGCTCGTGCGATAGCTCATGCGGCATTTCATCGCAGCAAGGACCTCAAGGCCAAGTCGCCCTTCGCAAAGAATGCGCGACAGTCGGGCACCCACTACCAGGGCGGCAAAATGGACGACATCACCGTCGTCGCTTGGTACGCAACACCACCAATGAATGCGTCAAGGGATCCACGGTTTGCAAAGCGTCTCTGTGTGATTTGATTACATGCAGCTGGGTGGTGTCTGACACCAACGAGGTGGCCCGTCCCCAGTCGGCCACAAGCCGCAAGAGCGTGAGCACGTGCGCCTCCTCGTCTGACGCCTCCCTCTCACCCCCACAGGCAGAGACCCTCCCACCCGCGACACCCCTCACACTCACCGAATGCGCTTACTGAGCCGAGCCGAGCCGAGCCGGGGTCTGGTCAGAGTGTGTGTACGTGTGTCCGTGAGATGGTGCATGGTGCATGTGTGCGTGTGTGTACATGAAACACTCTTTGTCGCGGGGGCGAGTTGACCAGAGGGGGAGAGAGAGGGAGGGGGGGAGACGGGATGGGATGCCGCGGTGATTTGCGGCCTTGCCTCGTCTGGTCTGGTCTGGCCTTGCCTGGGTGGGATGCGGTGGCGCGTGCGCTGAAGCAGACAAGAAAGGCCAGGCCGATTGCACCCAGTGCAATGGACTCTTTTGCTGCCTGCCTGCCTGCCTGCCACACCGACGGATGGATGGATGGATTGACCAGCGGAGTGTTTCACCCGAATTTTTCGCATCAACCACCACTATCGGCCACCGACTGTCTATGAAGAAGCAATCTAGTTGGGCCAGCCAGGGAAGAAGACAAGGAAGCTGCAGCCTGCCCTGCCCTGCCCGCCCATCTGGCCTGCCTGCCTGCCTTGGTGCTTGGTGTGTATGTCTTGTGTTGTGTTGTGCTGTGTTGCTGCTGCAGCAATCGAACGAACGAACAGAGGCTGGCCGTTTTTGACAGCTCGGGGGCGGGGGCGGGTGATCAGACAGATCAGGGTGGGCAGGCGGGTGGGCGGGTGCTCTCCTCTCTCTTTCTCTGGTGGGGTGGGTGCGGTGCGCGGTGCATGGGCGGCTCGGTTCGGTGTGTCAGGCTGTCTGTCTACTCTACATGCTCTTCCTTTCCTTCGCTGTTTATCTTGATGTTGCCTGCTTCTCTTTCTTATCGCCACTCCTTCATTTGCCTGCCTGCCTGCTTTCGTGTCTGCCTGCCTGTCTGCCTGGTTGCCCCGGTGGACACAGAGAAAGACGTGAGGGCCACCGACCGACAGAGAAACAAGATACAGACCAGACACGTGAGGCGACCACATGCTGGTCGTGGTGGGGTTTGGGATTGGAGGGAGGGAGGGAGGGAGGGATGCGCTGCATACATAGGTTTTTGTCAACGACGCTTTTTTTCCTCTGACTGGCTGGCTGGCCTGCTTGCTTTCAAGGGCTGTTTTTGCCGCGGGGGGTGGGGGGGGAGTACGTATGTGGGTGAGGCAGGTAGGTAAAGAGGTGTTCATGTGTGGCTGGCTGGCTGGTGGTGCTGTGTTATGTTATGTCGTTGTGTTGCGGACGGACGGCACGGGATTTTGGCTTTATCTATCTGCTGATTTATCGATGTGTTACCACTACGCACCCGCCCAGCCGTTTCCACGAGGGAGGGACGGAGGGAGGGAGGGAGGGAGGGATGGAAACACAAGCAGACAGACAGACAGGGAGGCAGAGAGAGGGAGAGACAGAGTGAGAGGTGATTTTTCCAACTTGCTACTACTTGCTATGCTGACCAGGCCGGCCGGCCAGCCGTGTGAGGTAACCGGCCGGCCGACTGACCGACCGACAGTGTTTGAGTCGGCAAGCGGGCCTGGCGGCTTCGTTCGTTCTATCTAGCTATCTTTCTGTATGTGATGCGATTTTGTGACTCGTTCTTTACACACATACATACATACAGACGTACTCGCGTAGATACAAAGATACTCTCTCGCTTGGTCTGTTTGCCTGTCTGTCTGTCTGTCTTGGCGACGGGGGGCGGGAGGCGGGCGGCATACATCTTTTTTGGTTGTGGTGTGGTGTGGTGTGGCTGTCTGTGATGTGGCTGGCTGCTGGCGGGCTGATGCGATGCGATGCGATGCCCTCATGTCTGTCTGTCTGTCTGTCCCCTTGTCTGTCCATGTGTGTATGTCCGCGTAGGTGCGTGCGTACTCTGGTTGGTCGTTTTGGTGCGTACGTACTCTGGTTGGTCGTTTTGGTGCGTACGGTACCGTACAGACAGACGAGCATGGCATGGGCACGGGAGGCAGAGGAGAGGGAGAGGCGGGAGGTCGAGAGGGCGGTCGCCTCGTCGTCGCGTGTGTGCATGTATGTATGTATGTTATGTCGGTGTGTTGCGTGAGGTGAGGTGAGAGTGTCGTCTGTCTGTCTGTCTGTCTCACTCGCTCTTTATAAGGCAAGCTTAGCTTGGCATGACTGTCGATCCGACGGATCGACGTGTGTAGACGGATGGGACGGTATGCTATGCGGTGTCGGCGGTGTGGTGTGGTGTGGTGTCAAGTCGTGTGGTGTGGTGTTTGCTTGGTGGAGTGGAGTGGGTTGTTGGATGGGATGGCTGTTCATGTGTATGTATGTCACAGACAGAGAGGCAGGCAGCTGGACACAGGAACGAACGGAGAGGGAGGGAGGATGGAGAGATCCTGTGTGCTTATACATACAGACAGTGACCGAGAGCAGTGGGGCAAGAGAGAGGGGAGGGGGCGGGAGGGGGCGGGGCGAGCGCAACACCAGCACAAAGACAGACACCAGGTTGCATACATTTCTGTATGTACCAAGTGGATGGATGGATGGATCTCGATGCGTGAATCCATGTAGACCTATATAGTGGATGGATGGATGGGTGGATGGGCATTGATGTATGTAAGTATGTGTGTGATGTATGCGTGTGTACGTGTCGTACGTGTGTGTCACTCACCTCACAACATGATATGTATGGAGTCAGTTCGGTCCACAAAGGGGTGGGTTGGCGGCTGATCGACAGAACGATCTCGATGTGTCCATGCATTCCATTCACTGTCACCATTCATCCTTCATTCCAATTACTCGTGCGTGCCTGTTCACCATTACTCCCGTGCTATGATGCCATGCCATGCCATCCCAGACTGCGTGCGTGTCTTGTTGTCTTTTGTTCAACCCTCATCTGCCTGCCTGCCTGCCTGCCTGCCTACCTGGTGTAATTTTGTTCCCGTGTGTTGTGGAAACGTTGTGGAAACGTAGTGGTATTTGTTATGTGCTGCCAGCGGTGGAGTGGGGTCGGTGTGGACAGACAAGAGATCCCCAGCCAGCCAGCCAGCCCTGTCGATGGTCTCTTCCCCGCATGAGAGTGGCTTGGTGCGGCATCATGTTCGTCATACTCACGCCGAGGCGCAATGCCGAGAATTGCGCCTCTCCGTGAGGGAGTTGTGCTTGATAGCCGGCAAGACACGTACGTCGTGCTGCATACAAATGAGTGAATGATTGATGGGGACAGACAGTGGTGCTGCATGGGTGGATGGAGGCAGGCAGACATGCCCGGTCGGTCGGTCGGTCGGTCGGTCGGAACTGACTCGTTTTTCTTCCGGCCGGGGGCCACACACATACAAGCCACACCATCCATCTCGATCTCATCCATCCATCTCGATCTCATCCATCCACCCATCGATGTCCTATGCCTTCTACTGTGTTTTGATTCAAGATAGATCGGCTCCAGTCAGTCAGACATCCCACCCGCTGGTTTGAAATGTGCGTATGCATGTGTGTGTGTGTGTGTGTGCATCCATTCATCGCACCCACCCGCCATGCCATGGACACTCATACATGTTATTGGGATTTTTCTCCCCTCCGTCTCTTAAGACACTCATCTATTGCAATCTCTCCACCACATCCATCCATCCATCCATATATCCATCCCCCAGCCACACGCATACACGCCACCCCTCGGGCATTTTTCTTTCGACTTTTTTCTTTTCTGCCTGCCTGCCTGCCTGTCTGTCTGTCTGCCTCCGTGGCCTTTTGGTGTGGATGCACTCACTGCATGGCGCGGGGGGGTCGGTCTTTTGTAATTCGTCGCAAACTCGCCCGCCTCGCCAGTACACTCACTCCCCTGCAGACAGACTGCTACTAACCTTCTAGCTCTTACCTCACCTCTCCCGTCTGTAATGTATTTTTCGGTCCGTCCGTCGCCAGACAAGACAAGACATCTACAATGTGTGTTTCGTGCCTTGCCTTGCTAGCTAAGCTGTTCGCGACCCTCCCTCCCTCCACACCCCAGCACTCGCTCTAACCCTTTCGTCTCCTCCCTCCCTGCCTGCCTGCCTGCCTGCCTGCCTGGATGTGTGTGCGTACTGATTGACCTTGGTTGGTACCGTGTGTGTGCCCCCGTATGTCCGTCCGTCCGTGCTGTGTCGTGTCCTGTCGTGTCGCCGCCCCTTCTTGCTCACTCCCTCCCCGAGTGTCGCTTTCTCCCGTGCCTGCCTGCCTGCCTGCCTTGGGTGTCGTTCGTGCGTCTTAGTGTGTGCCGTGTCGTGTCGTGTGTGATGTGATTGATGTGTGGCGTGGCGCTTTGGCTGCTGGATGCTTGTGGTTGTGTGAGTGTGTCAGCTGCCCGCCTGCCTGCCATGTGTGTGTGTGTGAGAGACCTATTGGCCAGCAATCCCTCATTGAATCAGTGACGGAGCGCAATACAACAGATCTGCCACAGCTCATTCATTCTCCATGGTGTTATATACAAAGTATCATCCACACACACTGACCTTCACACGCGTGCAGCCCCCTCCCCTACCTGTCTATTACGTCACACCACACACAAAATCCAAATACCTGCGTGTCGTGTCCATTAGCACACTCTACTCTACCCTACTCCCTACTCTCCGGCACCCCCCCCCCCCCCCCCCCCCCCCCCCCCCACCCCCCCCCCCCCACCTGTCGACCTACCTGCATGCCCCACTTCACACACAAATGCAGTCTACCCTGATCACACCCACCTGGCCTCCACATATATGTCACACATGCACTCATGCACTCATTGGATGACCTTCGGCAGGTCCCCCTCAGGCACCTGAACCTGCACACATACACAACACACACCCGCACCCATCGCTCGCTCTTGTTTCCGCGACTCACATCCCCTTCCCCCTCCCCCCACTCGTCAGGCACTTACATGGAATCGGCGGTCATGTCGGTGCTGTGCGGGTCGTGTCAGTGCCCAGTACATGGCCCACGACCGCGACAAACCCTCATCGAACGGACACCGACCGTGCGTGAGGTACCACAAGGCCCTCCCGCTGAACCAAAGAACACAACACACAGTCACACTCTGACACAGAGTCACAAACACCAAAACCAACTCATTGCACCTCCCCGCCCACCTACCTGTCAATAGCACCACCCAAGTTGGTCATGATGACGGACGTCCATGCCGACCATTTGGAGGGGTCGTCGCCCACAACGGGCAGGTGCCTCAGCCGCAGCGACCACTCCTCGGCCACGAAGGCGGCGGGCCGGATGAACGACAGTGCCGGTGTGAAGGGTATCATCTGTATGCCGTGGATGGCCGGCGGGTCGCTGCTGAACCACGTGCTGTACGACACCTTGTTCTGCAGAAACACTCCAGACACCTGAAATGAATGGATGGCATCAAGGATCCACGCAACTTAAAGCTCATCAGCGGGGTGTCTCTGTCGCCCGCCCCTCTCACGTATGTACCTACCTTGTTTTGCCAGTAGGTGGCGGGGTGGTTGGCATTGCCGTTGCTGAGCAAGAAATACGACGACACGCTCACTCTGTCGATCGACACACCAGACAGACAAGACACACACCAACCACTAAGAGACGGCAGTGCGGTGCAGTGCAGCTGCTGCGGTGTACGGTACGTCGCTCACTTTTGTATGGCCATCATGGTTCTGGCCAGCAGCGCCATGCGCGGCGCATTCACGACGCGACTCCACAGGTGAAGCCCGTACAGGTAGTTGACCCCCTCCGACACCGATTCCTGGTCCTTACCTGCAGGCAAATGAACAGTCAGTCCATCGACCAGACCACACACATACAGAAAGTGTGTTGCCTGCCTTGTGTTGTGCTGTGTCGTGTGTGTGTACCGTCAGCAGCGGCTAGGATGCCCTTGGCCCACGAGTGGCCGTCGAACCAGTCGAAGTATCGAAAGGGGGGAAAGTACACATCTGCACCAGATCCCTCGCCACTTTTGGTGTCCGCCACATCAGAGGTAGCTCTAGCTCCTGCTGCTGCCGACGGATTGGACACATCCCGGATAAGCGCCCACACGAAATCCCTATTGGCCCGCTTCTCCACCCAAGAAGGATTCAGGTGGGCCAGCACGGCTGCCGCGGTGATGTGATAGCCAAAGTGGTAATGGTGGTCGTTGAAGACCGCGTTGCCGAAGTCGAACTCGCCAAGCACCAAGGTGGCCGAGACGTTTGGGGATTTCCCCGCCCTCCAGTTGCCGTCCGTCGGGAGGGAGGCTATCCCGCCCCACGTGGCGTCGTAGCGGAGAGCCGGTGGGGTGGGGAGGCTGATGTCACACGCCCCTGTGTCCGATATGGTGTTCTTCATTGTGCAAGCCAGGCGACGTTCCAGCTCGTGCAAGCACTGCACACAACAGACGGACAGCCGTGGTCGCATATCCCATTGCAGGGATGGATAGATAGATAGATAGGTGGATGTGTCAGTCCGCCGTCCCTCGAGGGGCGGACTGCCCCTCGACGTACCTACCTACCTTTTGTGTGGTGAATGCCTTTGGCCCCAGCAGCTCCCGCGCCAAGAGGCAGAGAGACGCCACCTTCTGATTCACCTTACCAGAGAAATACCTGCATGTCACACACACAACACACCGATAGTTGCAAGCCGGCCTCCCTCGCTCCCTCGCTCCCTCGCTCCCCCGCTCCCTCGCTCCCTCCCCCCGACAAGCAACCAACCCCACCATGTGTCGGGCATGTTAGGCTGCGCACTGAGGTCGTTGACGTCTTCCTTCAGCTGCCACACCACCGCACTCCGATTGGCCCTCATCGGGCCAGCAGGGAGGTACCCCAGATGCTCCGCGACAGACGGCAGCTGTGCATGTGTGAGGTGTGTCTGCCATGTGGACCCCATGAGAGCCGTCATGGTGCCCTTGGTGGGGCTCTCCAGCTCCACTATGCTGACGCTGACGGGCAGGGAGGGCGAAGGGATGAGGCTGGCACGTCCGTTGAAGGCCACCGGCACCTCAGACGCGTTGGCTGGCCGCCGTAGGGGGCCCATGAGGGAGAGCTGGTGCGGGAAGGCGAAGTGCAGGAGGGGACGGGCTGACGGGGACGGCAGGGACACCCAGTCCACGCTGCTCACCTAGGTATGTACAGACAGGGAGATAGGTACCACACACATGGATACATACACCGTCACACATGAATGAATGGTCCCGTAAGGTCACCCGCTCGCTGACCTTCCACTGGAACTCCACAATCACCTCCCCGCCTTCGTTCTCCTCTCTCATCGCCTCAGGGCTGGCCGCCACCCGCAGCTCGCCACCCGTGGGCCAGAAGAGCACATGGCGGTCGAGGGTCGCCTCGTACCTGGCCTCGTACGTCTGGCTGTGGTCCTCATCTGAGGTGTAGTTGGTGACATTGTCGGGCTCCAGCTGCAGGGCGAGAGAGGGGTGGTGGCTGGGAAGGGGTGTGTTAGGCGTTTCTCGTGTGCGGTGCGACGGATTGTCGGTGAGGACATTCATCTGTCGGTAGACGGGGTAGCCGGCCGTGTTCTCCTGACGCCACTTGTACTCGTCCAAATCACGTGGCGGACCTGCAGGCAATCATAAAATCGGTGTGCGCTGCGCTCATTGATAGATCCATCCATCCGCTAAGTACCTCTGATAAGGTCAAATTCGAATGGCGTCATGGTTTGGGGTTCGTTCCAGCTCTGTTCGAAGCGCCATTTCTCATAGAGGGCCGACGTGTCTGTGGCGAAGGGCAGGTGGGCCACACGCAATACGCCACTCCAACCGGCCCGACTCAGACGAAGCACTGAATGGCACAACTCAACACACGACAGACAGAGGGGCAAGGCCCGTCCCGTGCAGCCAGCCAGCCAATGTGTGCATTGACTGCATTCCTGTTGGCCTCTTACTTACCGTCCCCCGCTGAGTGTTCATACATGGACCCGGTGCGGCTGTTGTCCCATGTGAGTGGCGGAGGGGATGAGCCGCCCGCATGTGTGTCTCTGGAGATGCCCCAGACCTTCCACGCCTTGTGGTTGCCCGACACGATGACCCAGCATGACACTTCCGCTGCCGAGGGGTCGACATCGAGAGCCACGTCATTCAACGCTGCCACGCATCGCATCCAGACGGAAAATGAGGCAGGCAATGTCTGTCTGCAGGCGTACCTACCTGCCGGTCTGATTTTCTCTGTCTGTCTGACCTGCGTACCTACGTACCTTTGCTGCAGTCTCTTGGTATGATTGCGCGGACTTGTGGCCAGAAGTGCATCACGGGGGTGCTGTTCCAGTACTCGACCGTCACATACGCCATGCCCTGCACACCACACCACACCGCAGTATACACACACATGACACCATATGTATGTATGTATGTATGTGTTTGTCTATGTACACAGTAAGTGCGATGCGATGCCCACGTACAGTACACGCCCAGCCCACCTGACCTGCACGATGGGTACAGTCATGTGTGGGTATGATCCGGTCGAAGAGTTTGTCGCGTTCGCTGCCTCCACCGCCCCTCCGAACGTGACCGTCGCGCCAAACAGATCGTGGCCGCTCACCACATACTGACACAGACACAGACAGACAGACAGACAGACGGACAGACAGACAGGCAGGCATGGACGCATCAACGGCGGCGGCCGTAAGTCCACATACCACATACACTCCACCTAACCTGTGTGAGTATTTCGTCAGCCCGTATGAGGACGTCGGGTGTGAGGGGCGTCACGTAGGAACCGATGCGACCAAACGACGAATTCGACAACCTAAGAAACAAACAAGGCAAGCAGCAAATAAGAGTCAGTACAGGCACACAAGCACACATGCCGGCCGCCCCCCACAATCCAATCTCCCCCACCGAGTGAGTTTCTTCTGGTCAAAGCTGACTTGGATCCCATAGCCAGTGTCACTCCTGCCACCTGCACGCACACGTCAGGTCTGTGACGGATGAACGGACGGCCGATGGATGGACGGATGGGTTTCTGCAGACAGACCTTTGCTGCCTACCGAGGGATTTGGTCGGGGTCTCTCTGCTGGGCATGATCTTGAGCGCATACGGCAGCGGGTAGACAGGGGCAGGCACAGAGGCATTGCCGTCACGAAGCAACAAGTTTGCCCAAAACCTGATCACACAAAGACAGACAGACGTACACATCCGAACCACACACCCGCCAGGCAGCCAGGCAGCCTCCCCCACTTGTTAGTCGGCATCGCTCCAGGGTAGAAGACCGTCGAGGCGACGCTGCTGTTGTGTTTAGTCAGCGCCTCTTCAAGCACACCAGACGACCCATCGGCTCTCACCCAGGTGGCATTGGAATCATCTGCAGAAGTGCCATTCATCAGACGGTAAATGCCGGACGGCGACCCGGGCGCCCTCTCGTGCCTGACAGACAGACCGACACGCCAGACACACGTGACCACTTGCCGCTGATTGACCCTCCCCTCCCTCCCTCTCTCCCTCCCTCACATGAGCAGAGCCGAATGGACATTTCGCGGCCGTGGCGGCATGAAGAACGGGTCGGCATCATCGCCCGACGCGTCATCTGCCTCGCGGCGTTTGAATGGCTTGAACACGGATGCGTCCGGCCTCTGGGTGTCTATCGGCCTGTGTGACCAAAACACAAAGCAGCAGAGCAGTCAGTATGTGTGTGCCAGTCTCTCGCTCGTCGCTTGGCTGCTCACTCGAGCAGGTTGATGTAGTCGGCAGGGATGGGCGACGCCACGGCAGTGAGTGAAGGTCCCTCGCCCACCGTCTTGTCGGCGCTGTGCAATGCTCCAGTGCAAAGCAGCGGCGCAAGGCACGAGATGAACAGGGCCGGGAGGAACGGGACCGCCATCGAAGCGGCCGGCTATATCACCGCATCACTCACCTGGACAGATCCACCATCGCGTCACCTTGTCGCCGATCACCACATTGAAGTTATACGCCAGCTTGCAGATCTGTTGCAGGACTTAGAACAGCCTCCTTTGTTTCCCTCTCTGAGCTGCCCCTCCTCTAAGCTCGCAGACGGGACGCGAGCTAGCCACGGAACCAAACACCGACCGACGATGTTTGGGTGGTGTGACGCCACTGTGCACGGTAGCACTGATCGTGCGACCAAGCAGCTGGCCAGCGGCCTTGCCGAGGGAGATGGCCTCCCCTCTAACGCCGTCACCCGGCTGCTTGAGGCCAAGGCGGAAGTCAAGGCGGAGGTCGAGTACATGGGCCGTGCCGAGACGTTGCTGGAGGCCGCTGCACGAACGTGCGAAGGCGACGATGGTACGCACGACTTTTGCAGTCTGAGAAAGAATGCATGGATCACTTCATTCAGGCGCGTTGGTGCTCAAGGCGCTGATCGAGGCTGGCGCGGATGTCAACGCCGAGGCAACTCGTGCTAAGGCGCTGCTGTTCAACTCCGAGCCTCCGATCAGCGCACTCGTCAACCGGTTAGCACATGTATCACTTATACACACAAGGGCATGCATGCCTCTATTGATTGATTGACCTGTCTGTCTGTTTCCCTTCACAGCCTCTATATGGGCGTGTTGGACAAGATCCACGGGAGTTGTTTCCACTCCGACTATGCCGCCAACTGTCGCCGCGCCGACTTCCTGCGCACCCTGGATCAGATCACGCCCATGGTGCGCACACTCCTGGCCCACAGAGCCGACCCCAACCGCCCCTCAGGCGTGCTGCACTACTACTTCAAGGCCATCAAGGACTACTTCACTGCAGACCACCCCCTCGACGCCAAGAAACGCCTGGAGTTTACGTCCATCCTGCTCGACGGAGGTGTGGTGCGCACTGTGCAAGCCAGAAGGGGGGAGGGGAGGGAGGCCGGTCAGTCAGTCACCATGTGTTGTGTTGTATGTGTACGTACGGTTTGTGTAGGCGCACGTGTGGTCCCATCGGACAAGTGGTGCAGCTTCCATGTCGCGTGTGAAATGCACCTGAGCGATGCGGACGTCCACGTCGACATAATGCGCCGACTCATGACGGCCGGAGGCGCCGAACAGCTCAACACGGCCAAGCAGCTCAGCGGGGAGGAGGAGGATCATCCTGAACGGGGCCCCATGCCGCCGCTGTGGCGTGAAGTGGGGGCCGGCAACACCAAGGTGGCGCAGTACCTCATCAGCGAGGGAGCGGAGGCCCCGGCGGGCGGCATCGAGGAGATCGCGGCGTCCATCAAGGACAAAGGCGGTGAGAGCCACTGACGAACAAGGGGGAGAGAGGCGGTAGATACTTAGACGAAACATGTCTGTCCAGTGTCTAGCGTATGCCTACATACCTACACGGAGGGCGGGTGGGTATGCATGGGTTGTGTGGGTCGGTGTGGTGTGGTGTGGTGTGGTGTGGTGTGTTGGTGGTCTTCTCGTACGTACGTACGGGTCGAAGCGATCCAGGGCTTTCAATCATTGCAACGCCACGTGAGTAGTGAGTGAGTGAGTGAGTGAGTAGTCTCTATGCATCTCCATATATACTTGTTGGAGGTATGTATTGTTGGGGGTATGTGTGCTGATATATGCGCGATCTGACGGACGAGCCAACCAGGCTGGCAGCCAGCCAGCCAGCCAGCCAGCCAGCCCAGCCCGCCACTCAGTCTGCATGTACGTGGCGACCGGCCCGAAGTGGGGCAGTCAGACTGAGTCAGGTCAGTTAGTCAGTTGCTTCTGTTCTCTTCTAAGTCTGCGCCGTGGGTGTGGTGTGGTTGCATGCCAGCGGAGGTTGCGGCGGTCCTTTTGTGGGCACATCATATATAGACGATGCGCGATGCGGTTCGCATTTCGTGTGTTTGTGTACGTGCGGCGTTACATGCAGACTTAACTGCATTTGCAAATTAACTACAAGTAAGGCGCCCAGCGAGCTGAGCGCGATGCACGACCCCCGCAGGTGAGAGCGCTGTTGAAGGAGAATGGGGAGGTGTGTCCACATACACGAAGCATGTCATCATGGAACAGCATGAAGGTGAGTGAGTGGCTTGAATAAAGAAAAGGCACGGCACGGCACATCACAGGTCATGCAGCTGTGTGTGTCTCTGTGTGTGTGTGTGGTGTAGCACGAACACGAACAGGCAGAACACAGGCAGAGAACGCACGCAGCAGCACAGCACAGCACAGCACAGCGCAGCACGAGCAGGCATGAAGAGGCAGAGCAGGTGTGGTGTGGCCGGGAGGCGCA